AGAAGAAGAAGAAAAAGCAAGAAAAGAAGAGGAAGAGAGAATTAAACGGGAAGAAGAAGAACGTAAGAAACAAGAAGAAGAAGAACGTAAGAAGAAAGAAGAAGAAGAGCTTAGAGCTAAACAAGAAGAAGAAAAGAAAAAAAGAGCAGAAGAAGAAGAGAAAAAACGAAGAGCAGAAGAAAGAAAGAGAAAGGAAGAAGAAGCACGTAAAAAAGAAGAAGAAGAAGTTGAGAGATTAAGGAAAGAACTTGAAGAAGAAGAACGTAAATTAAAAGAAGCTGAAGAAGAAAGAAAACGTATTGAGGCTGAAAGAAAAAGAAAAGAAGAAGAAAAGAAAAAAAGAGAAGAAGAGGAAAAACGAAAGAGAGAAGAAGAGGAAAGAAAAAGAAAAGAAGAAGAAGAGAAAGCGAGAAAAGAAGAAGAAGAAAAGAGAAAGAGAGAAGATGAAGAAAGGATGAGACGACACGAAGAAGAAAGAAGGAAATGGGAAGAAGAACAAAAAGCAAGAATGGCTGAATTTGAAGAAATGAAACGTGAGGCAGAAAGGTTAAGACAAGAAGCTGCACGTTTGAAAGAAGAAGAAGAACGATTGAAACAAGAGGCTGAAAGACTTAAAAAAGAAAAAGAAGAGACCGAAAGGTTTAAAGCATCTTTGTTAGATTCCAGTGCGAAAACATCCTCTCCATCATCAATTGCTACACCACCACCTCCTCCAACATTGAGCATGCCACCACCTCCTCCAACGTTAAATGTAACAAGTTCACCAACAACTACAATGACACCAAGTTCCGGTGCAGCGCTATCATTAGCAGAAATGATTGCAGCTAAACAAGGTAAATTAAAGGCAACTGAAATTGAAGAACGAGTGGTCCAAGAAGATGAGGTTGTTTTAGCATTAAGAGGAATTCTTACCGCAAGAAGACAAGACACTAATATTTCTTCTGATGAAGAAGAAGAAGATGACGATGACTGGAGCGAATAAAATTTATTATAACAGAATTTGTCAAATTTACATTTGCTTTAATTATATTTTGTTATGTCAAATTAATTTAGTTATTTAAGAAAACGAAGAAAAAAAAGAATACGAATTAATAGAAAAATCAATTTTATTCTTTTTCGATAAAAACATAAGTCAAAGTTTTCTATGTTGTTTATAACAATTCACACTTTGATTTAGAAGGTTTTCTTTCTTTCTTTCCTTTTGTGTCAGTAGGTTCAATAGAGGTAGTAGGTTCTGATGATACTCTATTCACTTTTATATCTTTAACTAATGCTTGGAATGTTTCAGTAATATTAATTTTAGCTTTTGCAGAGGTTTCAAAGAATAACACTTTCCATTCGTCAGCTAATTTTTTAGCCTCTGCAGTTTCTACTTGTCTTTCGTTTTCTAAATCACATTTATTACCACAAAGTGCAATAGAAACATGCTCGGATACATCCTTATCAAGAACACGATAAAGTTGCTCTCTAAATCCATTTGCTTCTAAAAATGAAGTAGTGGATGTGATTGAATAAACAATAACATATCCATCTCCTGATCGCATATATTGATCTCTTAAGGCAGAATATTCTTCTTGACCTGCAGTATCCAAAATATCAAGTGAAACCATTTCTCCATCAACAGAAATAGAAGTTCTGTATGAATCTTCAATGGTTGGGTCATAAATTTGTACAAAATGTCCAGAAACTAATTGAACAGTGATGGCAGACTTTCCAACAGCACCACCACCAAGCATAACTAATTTATAAGTGTTTGTAGTCATTAAAAACAATTTGAATTTATTTTTAACAGTTCTAAACTGAGTTTAAGTAGCTTTTCATTTGGAATTTTTCTATGAGAATATAGTTTACTTCTTATTATTTCTTATTTCTTTATTTCTTTTTCTCTGTTCTAAAAAAAGATTAGTGAAAAGAATCAACACTTCTATAAAGAACAAACCAAAAAAAGTTGGATTTCATCGGGATTTTTTCTCATTTTAATAACTATTAGATAAACATACTTCACTAAGGTGAGTATATAACCAAAAAAATCACTAATCCAGTTTTTGTGCATAGTCTTAACTTCACCTTTAAAATCTATTTTAAAATCTATTTTTTAAATATATTATGGGTCATTTACGATTATTTTTTTTAGACAAAAAAGATAATACAACAAATAAATTAATTTTTTAACTTTATATTAAGAAAATGCAAATCCTGATTTTGATGTTATTGCTTTAATAAGTTGTTGTTTCATTTCTTCTTTAGAATTGTAATTGGGTATTCTTAACATATAAGCACATGTAGATGATGTAGGTAAAAATTCAGAAGATTGATTAGTGAAAGAAATTGCAAATTTAGGTTCTAATGATCCAAATCCAAAGAAAGGTGGTTTAATCAATGAAGTACTAAATTGTAATAATAATGATTTTTCTTCTTCTGAAAAAGATTCAACAATACTCCAGAACCATTGAATTAATTGGTCATCAGGTTTAATATTATGATATACTGTATTTTGTTGCCAATCATTTACATCAATAACACTTGACTTACCACTTATCCAGTGTTGTAATTCATCAGGGAATAATAATCTAATATCTTCTTCCTTAATAACATTTAATAATCCATTTCTCAATGACCTAATTCGTTTGCTATTTCTTATGTGTGTTATATAAAATATCACACATGAAATATAATAATTTACATTATTTTTATTAACAAATATTTTATCTCCACCAGTAATTAATGATACATTATCATATGTAAATGTTAGTTCTAATGATTTCAATTCCTCTTCGCTCATATCACTTAATTCATTTAAATTCTTTGCAAGCACATAATCAATACTAGCAAGTGTATTAATATTGATAGAATCATCTTCTGGATTAGTTAGTCCTATCAAAATATCATCAGAAAATACTAAATCAGTTGAAATTTTTTCGCTTAAGCATTTACCAATTAACCTCCCTACCATTTGATATAATTCATCTTCATTTGCTTCAACTAAATTTTTTTGTATTTGACCAAATGTTAATAGTCCATCAGAATTTCTCTCAAATACATGTAGTATTTCAACACTAAACTCTTGTGTTGAAAT